ATAATATTTTAAAAAATAGTTTAAGATAAATTTAGTATTTGCATTCGAATATATTAATTATGTTTTTATAAATATTATAAATAATATATATTTGTAAAATTCCCCTTGTATAAAATAGAATTGTTATTAAGTATTTCCAATGAAATTTATAATTAGATTTATGTATATATTTCAAGATATTCCATTTCATATAAATTATTGGGTATGATTTAAAATTATGATACCCGAAAATTGTCCTTATGGCATCCTTTCGCGCCCCAGCAGAATCGGGATAAGGAATTGCAATAATATGTTCGTATATATATGTATAATTTATAATATATATATATAATTATAAATAGTGGTATGCAGACCTTTCGCGAACCTGACGTCGCCCTTTCGCGGTCTTGCGTCACTGCAGCAAAACACACACATCCATCTCTGCAGATGTCACTCTTCTATACTCTTCTAATGTTTCTGGATTTCGTATTTCAAATATTGGATTATTCATGATTTTTCCATTTTATACAGTGAAATGTGTGTCGAGATTTTAATTTACCCCGCATGAAATGGATAATCTTCTAAATGTTTCTGGATTTCGTATTTCAAATACTGGATTTTTCATTATTTTTCCATTTTATATACCGATCTGTGGGGTAAATCTGGACAGGTTTACCCCACGTTTCGATGTATAAAATGGATAATCTTCTAAATATTTCTGGATTTCGTGGTTCAAATACTGGATTTTTCATGATTTTTTCACTTTATACACCGATCTGTGGGGTAAATCTGGACAGGTTTACCCCACGTTTCGATGTATAAAATGGATAATCTTCTAAATGTTTCTAGATTTCGTGTTTCAAATATTGGTCTTTTCATGATTTTTCCATTTTATACACCGATATGTGGAGTAAATCTGGACAGGTTAAGTGAAGCAGATATGGATTCATGGAATGCGCACCAAAGGAGCTCATCCACGTTTTAGCCCTTGGTACACATAAAGTGAGAAAGATCCATGATGCCTTGGAGAAAGAGATACATCATATACTTTGACCACACCAAGTAAATATTTAACAATGATAATCCGCCCAGCCCGGCAGACGCAAGGGGGAGCGCGCCAGGGAATAATACTTTTGACTCTTGTTTCGGACTACCGCAGCAGCAGCAGCAGCAGGAGCAGCAGCAGCAGCAGCAGCGGACGACAGCACCAGCAGCGGCAGCTGCAGCTCCGTCCTTCACTGCTATGGTGTTTTCCTGTCCGGGACTCACGTTTTTGCAGCAGCCAGCAGGCAGCCAGTACTATATATAATCTATATATAGTCAAGGATTTTTTAGGATATATAGTCTAGGATTTTCTAGGATTCTTTAGGATTTCAGAAAACACGTTAGGTACTTTTTTGCTGCGATTTTGCGCCATTTTTGGCACGAAATTAGGTGGTGTTTTGCTGTTTCGAGTGAGTTTCGAAAAAGATGTCTGGCTATGTCTGGCTGTTGGTTTCTCGCCTTGGAGGCTGGTTGATGGCACGGCAGGAACAGCAGCAGCGCAGGAACAGCAAGAGCAGCAGCGCAGGAACAGCAAGAGCAGCAGCAGCAGCATCAGCGGACGACAGCACCAGCAGCAGCAGCTGCCGCTGCCTCCGTCCTTCACTACTATGGTGTTTCCCTGTCCGGGATCCACGTTTTGGTAGCAGCCAGCAGGCAGCCAGTACTATACAATACTCTAAGCTTTTCTGGGACATATAATCTGGGATTTCCTAGGATTCTCTAGGATTTCAGAAGACACGTTAGGTACTTTTTTGTTGCGATTTTGCGCCATTTTTGGCACGAAATTAGGTGGTATTTTGCTGTTTCGAGTGAGTTTCGAACAAGATGTCTGGCTGTTGGTTTCTCGCCTTGGAGGCTGGTTGATGGCACGGCAGGAGCAGCAGCAGCGCAGGAACAGCAAGAGCAGCAGCAGCAGCAGCAGCATCAGCGGACGACAGCACCAGCAGCGGCAGCTGCAGCTGCAGCTGCCTCCGTCCTTCACTACTATGGTGTTTCCCTGTCCGGGCCCCACGTTTTTGTAGCAGCCAGCAGGCAGCCAGTACTATACAGTACTCTAAACTTTTCTGAGACATATAGTCTGGGATTCCCTAGGATTCTCTAGGATTTCAGAAGACACGTTAGGCACTTTTTTGTTGCGATTTTGCGCCATTTTTGGCACGAAATTAGGTGGTGTTTTGCTGTTTCGAGTGAGTTTCGAACAAGATGTAATGTCTGGCTGTTGGTTTCTCGCCTTCGAAGCTGGTTGATGGCACGGCAGGAGCAGCAGCAGCGCAGGAACAACAAGAGCAGCAGCAGCAGCCAGGAGCAGCAGCAGCGCAGGAACAGCTAGAGCAGCAGCAGCAGCAGCAGCAGCAGCAGCGGACGACAGCATCAGCGGACGACAGCACCAGCAGCGGCAGCTGCAGCTGCAGCTGCCTCCGTCCTTCACTACTATGGTGTTTCCCTGTCCGGGACCCACGTTCTTGTAGCAGCCAGCAGGCAGCCAGTACTATATATAGTCTAAGATTTTCTAGGATGTATATTCTAGGATGTATAGTCTAGGATTCTCTAGGATTCTCTAGGATTTCAGAAGACACGTTAGGCACTTTTTTGCTGCGATTTTGCGCCATTTTTGGCACGAAATTAGGTGGTGTTTTGCTGTTTCGAGTGAGTTTCGAACAAGATGTCTGGCTGTTGGTTTCTCGCCTTGGAGGCTGGTTGATGGCACGGCAGGAGCAGCAGCAGCGCAGGAACAGAGCAGCAGCAGCAGCCAGGAGCAGCAGCAGCGCAGGAACAGCAAGAGCAGCAGCAGCAGCAGGAGCAGCCTCCGTCCTTCACTGCTATGGTGTTTCCCTGTCCGGGACTCACGTTTTTGCAGCAGCCAGCAGGCAGTACTATATCCGCCGACCCCGGCAGACGCAAGGGGGAGCGCGCCAGGGAATAATACTTTTGACTCTTGTTTCGGACTACTACC